GCAGGAATTGTTCCCTGGGAGGGTGGGCAGGCCCTGGCACAGGGTGCCCAGAGCAGCTGTGGCTGCCCCTGGATCCCTGGCAGTGCCCAAGGCCAGGCTGGACATTGGGGCTGGGAGTGACCTGGGACAGTGRGAGGTGTCCCTGCCATGGCAGGGGTGGGATGGGATGATCTTTAAGGTCCCTTCCAGCCCAGTCCATGCTGTGACTGAGTATTCCATGGATTCGTTCCCTCCATCAGGGGCCCACCAGTTTTGTCCCCTTTTCGCTGTCATTGAGCTGTGAGGCAGAGAGAAATCTCCTGTTGTTTTGTGGGTCAGCCTTCCAAACATTCCATAACTCTGGGGTTTTACACTGTCCCTCAGAGCAGTAGGGCTGGCTGAACTGAAAGGGGAGGTTTTGCAGGTCTCGTTTGTCATCGATTTCTGCAGGGAATCCAGGGGGTTTGGGGAGGATGGGGCACACGGAGCCATAGGCAGAGAAGGGGCAGAGCACTGTGGGATTCTCTCCAGTGCTGGATGATCCCTGTTCTCCCTTTCAGGGAAAACCTGAAAGCCCTGCTCTGCCCAGAGTTGTGTCTGAAAGCAGGAGTGCTTTGTGTTGGAAGCAATTTCCTGATGCAATTTGGATTTCCTACTGGATAATCCTTTGTCCCAGTGGGATGGTACAGAGGGATTGGGGAAAAGCTGAACTGGCCTCGCAGTGAGTTAAACACATCCCTGAATGGTTTCATGGCAGATGTTCAGGTAGGAAGAGACCCACAGGCATTGCTGGAAGATACTGATTTGAAGGGTCAGGAAGAGAAGGAACCACTTTGCCAGTGTGGGGTTTGGGTGCAGGTCTCTGCCTGGAGTGCAGGGCCTGTCAGGGGCTGAGCTGGGAGGAGGAGGAATTTAATCCCAGAAAAGTGTTTGTGAATGATGAAGGCAGCAGCTTAATCCTTGTTCTTTCTTCCCCAGGGATGCTGGTGGTGATCGTGCTGCTGCTCATCGCCATCGCCGTGGTCGCGCTCTGGCCGACACATTAACCCCGATCCCATGGGRGCTCCGGGGCTGAGGGGAGGGACCCACAGTGTGCAAGGACCTTGTGTGCTGGGGATGGACCCCACAGCTGAGAATGGACTGCACAGCTGGGAATGAACCCCATAGCTGGGAATAAACCCCGTAGCCGGGATTGGATGCCACAGCTGGGAATAAACCCCACAGTTGGGAATAAACCCCACAGCTGGGAATGAATCCTACAGCTGGGAATGGACCCTACAGATGGGAATAAACCCTACAGCTGGGAAGGGACCCCACAGCTGGGAATGAATCCCATAGTGCCAGGCTGAAGCAGCGGCTGCCATACATCCACTCTCTTTGGAGCGCAGCTGAGGAGCTCTGTGGGGTTTGGAGGATTTCATCAGGAAAAGGGCTCTGTTTCCATCTTCCTCTGGCACTGAGGAAGCTGCAGCTGCTGGATGGACCCATCTCTCCTTCATCGGCATCTGAGGACACATTGGTGCTGAGTTCAGACCTCCCAGGGGCTTCAGACACTGAAATCCAGAGTGGTTGGGAGAGCAGCAACGTTCCCCTGCTCCAGGACCCTTCCTTCAGAGACAAAACACCCCACGGTTTCCAAGAAGCAGTCTGGGGAATGACTGCTCTGGGTTCTCACAGGATGGGAAGGGACAGCACTGCAGGACCCTGTGGGCTGCACGGAATCACTGGGACTGGGTCAGGGCTCAGCCCCTGGGGAAGGTATTGGTCAGGTATTGATCTCCAGGGCTGGAGCTGTTGATCTCCATGGATGAGTTATTGATATCCATGGATAGAGTTATTGGTGAGTTATTGATCTCTGTGGATGGAGTTACTGTTTTCCATGGATGGAGTTATTGGTGAGTTATGGATCTCCAGAGATGGAGGTGTTGGTGAGTTACTGATCTCCATGGATGGAGTCATTGGTGAATTACTGATCTCCATGGATGGAGTTATGGATCTCCAGGAATGGAGGTATTGGTGAGTTATGGATCTCCATGGATGGAGGATTGGTGAGTTATGGATCTCCACGGATGGAGTTATGGATCTCCAGGGATGGGAACTGAACGCCAGCAGGACTCAGCCCAGCCTGTGTGGGTCGAGGGCTCTGCCCTCGTGTGCTCCCCAGGGGCTGCTCCAGCCTGGCCACGGGAGCTGCATCATAATTAACATCCTGATCCAGCACTGCCTCTTCCTTTGACAACTTCTCACATTTTACATTTTACAGCTGAGAGGAAGGATTACCTAGTTCAAAACTAATCAAAAAGAAGTAYTGAATGTTTGCTTCTGGCCAAGAGAATAATTATTTTGTTACACATGCCAGTTTGATTTCAGGATTAATAGAGCAAGCAATAAATACTGATTAAAGCTGATCCATTTATATACAGTTTATCTGCCTGGGGTTTTATTRTTTCCTGCTATTTGTGTTGTCTGTGAGTGATTTATCCAATGCTGCCATATCCTMAGAGCTGCTTTGGAGAAGGAAATCAGCAATTTCTGTCAGACTTTGTGTRTATGATGACAGATGTGTGAAACTTTCCAAGGGCTGGGCCTCACCTGCCCTGGGATCTCCTTTCACAGCTCTCCCCCAGTTTCTGGTGCTCATTTCTCTGTGCCTTGCACCCACACTGCACATCCAGCGTGTCCTGCTGCTRTGTCCCCTCTTCACTGACACAAATCTGTTTGGCTCTTCTGGGCTCATCCTGGCTGGGGCTTGGGCAGAGAACCTTCAGGCTCCTCCKCGCAGGGTGCAGGTGTTGGCTGGAGCAGGGACCCCATCGTTCCCAGCTCTGAGGATGAGAACCATGGAAGAAGATGGAGKTGTGCAGAAAGCAGGGGCAGGGACCTGCTGAGTACCCCACAGGGTGCATGGAATGCACAGAATCCCAGGATCCCAGAATGGTTTGGATGGGAAGGGACCTTATCCTGTTCCACCATGGGCAGGGGCACTTTCCACTGCCCTTGGCTGCTCCAAGCCCCGGTGTCCAGCCTGGTCTTGGACGCTGCCAGGGACCCACAGCTTCTTTTCTTCACCTGTCATTGGTGTTGTGTCCTGCAATTGTAGGGTCTGGAGAGCAGCATTTCTGTCTTTGTGCTCCTGGGAAGGGCCCAGGGGAGTGGAGAGAGGAGCAGAGAATCAGAGCCCCAGTTGTGCCTGTTGGCCTGGGCAGCAGCTTCACACCGGGCTCTGTGCCCATGCCCAGCCCATCCTCAGAGCTGGAGGAGAGGCTGGAGGTTGGAGCTCCTCTGGAGAATTCCATGTGAACAAAATCCTTGAAGCTTTTACAGTCCAGCCCAGGTTGTGCCTGCTCAGTTTTCTTGGAGAGATGCTTCACCTCGTGACTTTCAGAGGGAGAACAGAGGTGCTTTCATGTTTTCTGGTTTTCAGGAGGACATGGCAGGGTTGATGTGTTCATTGTTGATGGCAGATTAGAGATGGGGCTTTAGGGCTACTCCAGCTGGAAAGAAGGAAAGGCTTTGGAGAGGGGTTTCAAATCTGTGCATTCCTGTAGCTCTGCCAAGGGAACAGCACTGGGAATGCTCCAGGAGCTGTTCCTCAGCAGCAGCCTCCGAGCTTAGAGCAGGATTTCACTCCCAGCTCTGGAGCAGCCCCGTGGACCTTCAGTGACAGCAGGAGAGCAGTTTGGGGTTTGTTCAGATGGGACCATAGGCCTGGGCTTCTCATTGAAGCTGTCAGTGTTGGAGGGAATTGTGGCTTTGTTTGAATTCCCAGGACACGCAGGGTGGACTCATCCTGATCACGTTCCACGGGGACTTCGTTCTCATTGAGCCTTTCAGAGGCACTTTCTGACCCACKGGGCCCTCAAACACATTTTTCCTGGGAAGGGTGGAAACACCGGGATTTGTGCTGGCGAACAAAGCGATTCTCAGCCTTGCCCTTTAGGTAACATTTAATGTGTCGTGTGGGTGAGGAATTTCATTAAAAAGAGCAGATTTGGCAGCGCTCTGCTGTGTGCAGGGAAGCTTTTCTGTCTCCCTGCCCCACTAAAGAAAAAGGAAAGTTAAAATACGAGAGGCGCTGGGGTTTGGSTCTGAGCAGCAGCGTTGGAGAAGCCAACCTGGAGAGGCTTTTCCAAGCAAAGATCGTCCTGGAATGTGCCCAGATCCATCCCAGGCTTTGCCCTCCCTGCCCCCTCCTCCATTTCTCTCCTGGAGAATGTGCTCAGGAGTTCAGCTGCTTCCAGTTGTTGTTTCATCAAAAATCCGAGTGCTGGGTGCGGCTCCAGGCACTTGGATGTCCCAGTTCCCCTGGAGAAAGTCCTCACCTCCTGCACGAGAGCAGGGATCGTCCTGGGATGCTGCTGGGCAGTTTCACATTCCCTGATTCCTGGAGCCAGYTCAGTGTGTGGATGGCTCCTCTCCCACGCTGCCCAGTGGGACCAGGCTGGAGAAGCCACCCAGGCCTGGCCCTCCGTGGGAAAATTCCCATCCCCCCCATTCCAGGGTCACCTTTGGACAAGTSGCCACTGCCTGGAGCCAGAGCAATCTGGAAAGCCCATTTGCTCCTGGGGCAGAGCGCTTTTGACCCATTTGTCTGTGCAATAAAGATCTGAGATTTCCGACGCCCAGGATGTTTTTGGATTCATAAATCCCCAGTGATGCTGAAGGCTCAGGTCAGCAGGGCTGACCCCGGCATTGGCAGCACCTTTTGCCTGGGTTTTTGTCCCTGGAGGTGTTTGTTTCTCAGTTTGCCCCTCCTCCAGTGCTGACCCCATGGACCCTGGGATGGAACTGCTGGAGCTGCTGGAGCTGCTGGAGCTCTGAGCCCTGCAGTGGAAGGGCAGGAAGGGCCAGCACTGAGGAGCAGCCTCTGGATGGGGCAGAAACGGGTCCAGAGCGGGGTTGGCTTTCCTGACTCCAAACTCTGGCTGTCCCCTGTCCCACAGCTCTGGGTGGGGTCCCACAGGTTTGGGCTCTGTCCCTSTGCAGGGCACGGCCTCCTCCAGCAGCACAACTGAGCCCACAGGGGCTGCTGGGGATCCCACATGCCCACGGTGACCCTGCTGTCCCCAAGGCCACATGGCCCCTGCCGGGGGTGCTGAGGGGACAGGGCTGGGACTGACAGAAATAGCCGTGCCACCTCCGGGTGGCACCCTGCCAAGGGGACACACCAGGGGGTGGGGGGGACACCATCACTTCCTTGCCCAGSTCCTTGTCCCACAGGTTCACCGCCCAACAGGGTGGGAAGAAACAGAAATTCCTGGAGGTTTTTACAGTTTACAAGAGTTTATTCAACTGGTTTCTGACTTTAGTTCTACCGAGGGGGTGCTGAACAGTTACAAGCTCCTTCGGGTCAATTACAGCCAATCTAACGAACAAACAAACAAAGGGGGGAAAAAAGGAAAAAAAAAAAGAAACAACTTGGAAAAACAATAAGAAAATCCACAACTTTTTCAYGTGTCATTAAATATATTCATATATAATAACCATAATATATTAGTATGCATTGTAAAGAAACATCGCCCAAAGCAGTCTGCCATGGTCATAACTAAACAACATTTACAGTTCAAGATATTAACAGAAATAAAAAAAAAAAATCGACAAAAAAACCAACCCCAAAACGAACACAGGTTTGTGAGGGGACAAGGTGGGGGCAGGGAGGGGGCACGGACACGACGGAACGAACAGAAACGAGACCAAGCGACTTTTGTCGGGTGCTACGGTCAGTGATGATTGTTTTGGCATTTCAGCTGCTCTCTGAAGCCTTTCTGAAGGTGCCACAGCCCCTTCCYGGCCACCCCACTGTCCTCCATGTCCCCACTCCTATCCCCAGGGTGATGGGGGGCGCTGGGTTCTTTGCTCTCAGAATGTGGTTGGTCCCCAGGAGCCACCCCCGGCCATGCAGGTGTTTAGGGGGTGTTTTGTCCCTCTGGGTGACCAGGCAGAGGTGTCCTGGAGATGTCCTGGAGCTGTCCTGGAGCTGTCCTGGAGCTGTCCTGGAGTTGTCCTGGAGCAGGGGTGACTGCAGGGCAGAGCTGCACCTCTGGACCCCGAAATGGGGCTGCTCTGCCCTCCCAGCAGAGGCTGTTCCAGTTCCACCAGTTCCAGCAGCAGCTCCTGGAGGTTGGGGTTACTGGGAGCRCAGGAAGGGCACTGGGGAGTGTGGATGGAGGGAGRGGGTGGGGTTTGCCTGGTCTGGTTGGGAAGCACAGAACTCCAGCYGGGATGAAGGGACCTGGTGGGGTCCTGGGGTCCCTCCCGTGGCAGGATCTGAGCTCTTGTGCCAACTCCTGTTTCCCCAGGTTGTGTCAGTGCTGGGAGGAGTCTGCCTGTGGGATGAGTGGGTAGGGGGTTTTCTGCAGCCTCCAAGACCAGTGGGAGCAGGGAAGAGGCTGGAGGGGTTTCCTGGGGGATTTGGGGTGTCCAGGCTGTTCTGGGGAGGGCGGCTGTGCTGGACAAGGGTGGAAACCAGCAGTGAGYGTTGGGTGTCCAGTTGTGCTGGTGGGCACTTCCCAGGTCCCCCACATGCYCTGGCCTTTCCTTCCTGCTCTCCAAGTGGACAATTGGCTTTGGGTTGGATCCCATTACTTTTAGGCACCATTTGAAGGTCTCCAGAGGTTGGGGATGTCCTGGCTGACTGYGGCTGTGCTGTCTCCAGATGATGGGGTGTCCCTGGCAGCAGCTGCCCCATTTTGGGGCTTTAAGCCTCYATTTGGACACTTGAGGTCAGATTTTATCATTCAAAACTTGGTGGCTTCACTTCCYTTGGCTGCAAAACCATTGACTCTCCTTAAGCTCTGAGATAAGGAAAACCCAAGTCCATTTTGGGAAAGGGGAGAAAACACAGACCTGGARGAGGGGAGTTGCTTTATGGCTAGGGTGGGTTTTTCCCCTAATGCCCAAATTAATTTTGGGGGCCCTGTGGTGGCAGGGGAGGCTCAGCAGAGCTGGGTCACTCCRGGTGGTGTCTCCAGCAGCCCTGGGAGCCTCCTCTTTGCACCTATTTACATGGCTGCCCTGCTTTATGGTGGTTTATGTCATTATATAAATATTGTCAATTGCTATAAAACAAGGAAAAGCACTGGAAAATGTAATAAAAGAGATGTTTCCAAGTTTCCTAAAAGGAAAAATATCAGGGAGGTTTTGCTTTTCATAGCGACTAAAGTTTGCTTCTCCAGGTACTGTGCTGCCCTCGCTGCTCCTGCCCCAGCTGTTCCCTGGCTCCATGGATGGGCTGGGATTGGACATCCCCATTYYCYRCTGGTGTGGCAGRGGAGCAGCCTGGCAYRGAGGGGTCGGCTCCAGAGCCAGTCCTGCCCCAGGGGAAGGTGCTCCAGTCTGAGGTGAGGCAGCCTCCACTTCATTCAGTGGAGGGACTCMGAACTGGGAATTTTCCATTGGCTGTGTTCACCCCCAGCAGGAGAAGCAGAGCAATTTGGGGAGCTCCAGGTGGGAGCCTTGTTCATCCACCCCTGACTGAGACCCCTTCCCTGGGCCAGCCCCTGCCCTGTGTGGGCTCTACCTTGGCCAAACCTCAGAGCTCTGCACTGGCCCCGCTGCCCTTGGGAACAGTCCCTGGCACTGTCTGTTCCCCATTTTTTCTCCAATACTTTTGGCAGGGATGCTGGGGAGCTGCAGCTCCAGAGGGAGTGAGGGCAGAGCTGAGGTGGGTTTGGGAGAGTTTGGGAGTGAAACCAGTGACCTTGGTGTCATCCACAGGGATTTTCTATCATCATCGGAGGGTTTGTGGTGGGCTGACAGCAGCAGAGGGGACCGAGCCCATGGAAGCAGTTCAGGGGTGGCCACAGTGGAGACTCAGATTGAGACTGGCAGGATCTGCCAGGGCATTAACGGGAGCTGGATGCCAACTTATTTTTTGTCAGGTCTGGGTGTTTCCTTGAGGATCCTGGTTATTGACTCCTTGCCTGGGAACAGGTGGCTGGGAGGGGGACAGGACACCCTGTGGGGTCACACTCCTTCGCCATGGTGGGGGCAGCATCCTCAGAGTCAGGGGCTGAGCAAGGAGCCATTCCCACAGTCATGCACAGCAGGAAGTCACCCACCAGCACTGCCCCCTCTTTGTGTGGACTGAAGTGGTCTCAGTATCATCACGGTGGAGACCCCGGCCGCCCCAGACACCATCACAGCTGGTCACAGCTGGTGATGGTCACAGCTGTCGGATACCAAAGCCCCCCAAGGACTCACCCATCAGTCCTCGCCTCTGTCCTCACCAAAAGTCTCGGTTTAGTTTCCTCTACAAGAACTGTCTTGCTCAGCCTAAGTCGCAAAGACGCGTTTGGGGATGGGGAGTTAATTTCCGGCGGTGCTGTTGATTAGTTTCTTACAGGGTGCATGTGCCCATGCCGTGCTTTGGAGGCAGTAGATGTTGGCAGCTGGAAGGCAGTTTGGTGTCTCTGAGTTTGTCAGCAACGGGTCAGGAGGGAGCTGGGGGGCCCCAGGGGCCACAAGCCCACACCCCACTCATGGGTTCTGTCCGTGTGTGTGATCTCATTCTGTTGGGTCCTGTTGGGTCCTGTTGGGTCCTGTTGGGTTCTGTTGGGTCCTGTTGGGTCCTGTGCCTGGGTTCTGTTGGGTCCTGTTGGGTTCTGTTGGGTCCTGTTGAGTTCTCTTGGGTTTTGTTGGGTCCTGTTGGGTTTTGTTGAGTCCTGTTGGGTTTTGTTAGGTTCTGTTGGGTTTTGTTAAGTTCTGTTGGGTTCTGTTGGGTCCTGTTGGGTTCTGTTGGGTCCTGTTGGGYTTTGTCTTCCCTGGAATATGAGGTGCAAGCCCAGCACCCCCCAGCTGTGGTCGCTGTCCCCCTGTCCCCCCAGCCCGCCCTGGCAGCCGGTCCCTGCCCGCCCCAGCTCTACACAAAGCAGCATGCACAGTCTCTCCCTCTCCTTCTCCTCCTTTAGGCTTTCTTACACTTCCCCTTCTTCTCTCGCTGCTGGAACTTCCGGAGCCGCCGGGCCCACGTGTCCCGCCACTGGATCACCAGGCTGGTTTTGTCAGCAATGATGCCGCTCTGGTCGGGAGAGTCCTCGTTGTTGCCCAGCAGCAAATACTTCTTCATGGGCTTGATTTTGGGGCACTTGCAGGCTATGTCCTTGGAGTGGATCCACAGGATCTGGTCCCCGCGCCGGATCCGGTTGCTGCCTTGTTTGTAGACAGAGATGATGTTCACTGTGAACTTCCACCAGTCTGCGTTTTTTTCTGCCTTCAGGATGTGGATCTGGACAGCTGGAAAATAACACATGAGACAAGAGAGGGGAAGATGTTATTGTTTGAACTGCTGAGGAGAAGCTTCAAGCCTTACCTAATGGGCTGTGTGAGGAAGAGGGATTTTGTCTCCAGAGCCCAGGCTGGGGCACAACAGCCAAGGGTTGTCTCCAGAGCCCCAAAACTCTGTCCCCAGGTCACCCCCACAGGCAGGAGYAGCCAGTGCTGTGTCTGAGGGTCTCAACAAAGAGATGTTCTCCAGCTCTGCTGCYCATTTCCCTCTGGGTCCCCAGGGAGCATGGCCATGGTTGCCCAAGGCCCATGGGGGGCTGCAGGACCCCTGGGAGGGAAGGGGAGCAGAGGTACACAGGAACCATGACACTCCTGGTGTTGGGAGCCCTGGGAATGACAYGGAGCAAAGGCACAGAGCAGCTGCTCCTCCTCCCCTCTGTGTCCCAGGGAGGAACAGCATCTCCCAGGACATGGCTGGGAAGCAAACACAGGAGCAGTATCCAACAATATCTGGGAACTCTTCAAGTGATCAAGAAATGTTCCAGAACCAGGTGGGTTCATGCACCCTGGACCTGCCTTTTCCCTTGRAGCCACAAGGCAGCAGGAATTCCCAAACCCTGGCACAGCTGTTGCTCACCCGTGGTGAGGCCTTGCAATGGGCAGGACAGGGAGCTGCCCATCCCCATGGCAGTGCCAGAGCCCCAGGCTGCTCCCCAGGACCTGGGATGGATTTTGTTCCTGACCCAGCTATCCATAGAGCAGCTCATGGTTCAGCCAGAGGATGTTCATGCAGGGACCACCCTCCAGCCCCTCAGCTCTCTCTTCCCTGCTGGGTGCAGCAGCACCAGGATCCTAAGGCAGCCCCAGGATTTAAGAGAAGAGGAGCCAAAATCTCGAACAAAACCCTGGGGCAGGTCCTCATCTCCAAACACTTGGATGCTGGAGGTAGGAGAGACCTGTGAGGGGCTCCAGCACATCTGGGCCAGTGGAAGGAGGAGGCTCCCTGTGAACCCTGGCCTTGGAGCAGGACATGAGGGGGTTCAGGTCTGTGGAAAGATTTGGGAGCAGGGAGGTTCCCTGGTCTGTAGGAGATTGTTTGTAGATGTTCCTCAGTTAGAGCTATCCTTTGCTTGCTGTGGAGGAAGGCATTGCTGGTGAAAAATGCAGGTGAAGGACTGAGGCTGGGGTGCAGGGACTGTAAGAACAGGTCAGTGGCAGTGTCCAGCCTGACCTCTGGGTCTGCARAGGCACTGGAGCATCTCTGAGGTGCTGAATGGCAGCTCTGGGCTCCATGGAGAACACTCAGTGTCCTGGCAGAGGAGTGGGAAAGACTGGGGTGGGAGGAATACAGTGATCCCTACACAATATGAGGATGGTGATGATGATGGTGATGATGAATATGATGATGATAATGATGATGACATTCTCCAAGCCTGTGGCTGATGCTGTGTAACCTCCCCTGTAGCCATGGATTGAGAAAGCCTGGTGAGGACTCAGCCTCCACCAGCCCAGCTCTCGCTCTTTGCTGCAATAGGGCTAAAAATCAGCTTCCAGGAAAACACCTTCCCCAGGCAGGGACTGCCCAGCCCTCCTGGGTTTGTTTGCTRGCTGTGGGATGAGGAATTCCCAGCAGCAGAGACAGAGGGAGAATGGCTGGGGGAGCAGGCAGGGACCAGTGGCTCTACACAGGCTGGTTCAACACAATCCCAAAGTACTTTTTTAGCCAAAGTTCTGAGTTTTTCCCTTTTCCCCACCCTTCCCTCCATGCCCTGGGAGCTATAACCCATTGCCCATTCACCTGCCRGTCTCTGGGGCCAATCCTGTTCATATAAATTAACAGAGGGAGAAGAAACTCCAAAAAAAACCCAGGGAAAAATTCTCCCATTTGCCTTGTAACAGCCCAGCTTTCCCCCCTGGGCTGGTGGTGGAGGAGCATCCCCATCTCTAAAACCAAATGATTCCAGGCTCTGGGAGGAAGCAGAGCTCTGCAGYCCAGCACAGCTTTTTAACACGTTGCAAAATATATGGGGTATTTTTTTTTTTTTCAGAGCATGTCATGGAGGCCAGATGCTTTCATTTAAAAAAAAAAAAAGGGAAAAAAAGGAAAAAAAACAACCCTAAGCTCTGACTGTGTATTTCCCTGTCTGGTGTGAAGGTAACAAAATGTGAAAAGTAGCCAATTTTTATTTTTTGGAAACAAATCTTTCCAAAAAAGCTTAAACCTTTGACCTGCTTGGGTCCACACTGACAAAATGGAGAAAATGAATGAAAAGGAACTGGAGAGAGGTGGTTACAGGAAACTCTGCTCTAAAACACACAGTCTGTATTTTTTTTTTTTATGTCAAGGCCCCCGTCTCTTATTTTTTCCCCTTTTATTAATGAAGTGGAAGGAGTGAAAGCTTTGAGGAAGGCTTGGCTGGCGCAGCCACAGCTGCCTGCCCTGACAGCCAGGTTTCTGCCCATAACTTCAYGTCCAGGACAGGCAGTTCCTCCTGAGCTGGGGTTGGAGCCCAGGTTTGGTGGTGTTTGTCTGGCTGTTTCAGTGCTGGGATGGGGTCAGCTCCTCCAGYGCCTCCCAGGGGACTCAGGACATGCAGAGAGGCAGAAAAGAACCAGGATGAAGGTTTGGAAGCACCTAAGCTGGCTCCCCTGGCAAATCCCCAGGGATTTGGACTTCTTTGTCATGAAGGAGGTTTTGGTCCCTTCCTGTTTTGGGAGGAGTGCTCAGCTGTGCCCCCCAGTCCAAAGCTGGCTTTGGGGCTTGGTGTTGTCCTTCAGCTGCCATTTCTTGGAACAACACTTGGCTGTGTGGTGAGCTGCTCTCACTTGGATGATGCTGCCATTGAACCCCTGCACTCAGCTCCTGTCCCTGCATCCTTGGAAAAATCCCTGGAAAAACCCCTGGGCCAGCAGGGAAATGATGTGATTGGGAAGGATGGTTTCTCATGGAGATGGTGCTCCCTTGCTTGGCATCCCAGGAGCACATGGCTCCTGGAGTGGGAGAACAAAATCAAATGGGCTGCAGCTTCCTCAGCTCCA